GTAAAAATATTATTTTCTCTTTCTTATTTATCTATTACTTTAATCCGTGACTTAATTTTGTCTTCGGAAAGGATTGTATTGAGTAGTTTCTGCGCAACATTGAAACCAGGCATATCGGTGTCAACGAAACGACTTTTCTTTAGTACCTATTCGATTTGATAGGGATCCTTGTATGTGGAGAGTAATTTTTTGTTTTTACCTGGTTGGAGGTGTAAAATTCTTATCATAACCAGGTCACCGTTTTTGCACTGAGGTGGGCTTTTTATATTTTCAGTCGTATTTGAACTTATTACGCTTTTTTCTTAAATATACAAGTCCAAAATATTATGTTCTCGGGACTACAAACAAATCCTTATCGTTGTATGTATTTCCAAAATAAATGTGCTTCTATTAATACATGCTATTTATTATTGTCTCTATCTTTTGTTTCTAGTTTTCAGTAACTCTATTAGTTCTTTTAACTTTGGTTCAGTGAACTATGTAAACATTACTTCATCATCAATGGTAACTAGTGTAATCGTGATGATGTTGCGACTTAAACATCTACATGTAGTATTTTATTGGATTCACGGTGTATTAATTCAAATTTGTAATTTGGTAACAACTGGTTCCTTCAACCTATACAACGATTACTATTTATTTTGCTCATTGTAAGTATTAAGGCATTGCAATCTGTAACTATATGGAACTTTATACCTTGTAAGTAAACATGAAAACATTCTATGAAACGGACAATACTTAAAGTTTCCAACTCGTAACTATAATCATTCTTTTTCTCTGAAGATGTGGCATTTCTGAAATAAGCGACTGGAACTAACCATGTCCCAAGCTGACGCTGTAATAAAATAGCTCCAAACCCTAGACTGTTTGAGTCTGTATCCAACTCGGTTTCTGTTCCGAGATTGTATGTACATAGTACAGGCGAAATTGTTTATATCCGTTTTAATATCATAAATGAACGCATACATTCTTCATTAAATTTAAGATCTGTATTCTGTTTCATTAGGGCTTAAAACACGTTGTATTTAATAAACTTTTGGAAATAATTTGTTAGATCTACGAAACTTTGCAACTCTTTGACATCCTTCGGTTGCAGAAAATCTATGGCATATATCATGTACACATAGTGATACCTTCAACCGTTATTAAATAATCCAAATGTTCTATTTGTTAACTTAAAAATATACATTTTCATAAATTTTATTCTAAGTTATTATATATATCTTTTTAAACATATTAATACCTTTTTTATACCTCAGTGTCTTAAGTTCAACAAAGCCTACTCTCTATAGACATAAAAAAAACAGGAGGGAGTCAATATATCGAGCTGTAATGATTAATAGCGATGCTTCAAAAACACTGTGAACAAAATAACTCATTATCTAATCAAGAAAATTTCATTTTCAATTATTTTTATATTTTCTTTCCGGTAAAATGGTTCCATTGGATTGCTGCGATTTTACTGATTAACGTAAAATAAGTTTAACTTGAGGATCATATAACGCATATTATAGAATTTTTTCAGAATTTTTGTACGAAATTAAATAAGCAAAAAGGGCCAAAAACCGGAATTTCGTTTTTTCCCTTTTACTACCCCCACGGTTGAGATATGGGGTTGAAACTTGGTGTGAGATGTTTTTTTGGGATATGCTACCGACTGACGAGTTGGGTCTCAAATTCGACTCAAGCGCACATTTGACTACCTTATACGGCTATACCCTTTACCCAAATCCGCCGTACCACGTCAGTGTCTTAAGTTCAACAAAGCCTACTCTCTATAGACATAAAAAAAACAGGAGGGAGTCAATATATCGAGCTGTAATGATTAATAGCGATGCTTCAAAAACACTGTGAACAAAATAACTCATTATCTAATCAAGAAAATTTCATTTTCAATTATTTTTATATTTTCTTTCCGGTAAAATGGTTCCATTGGATTGCTGCGATTTTACTGATTAACGTAAAATAAGTTTAACTTGAGGATCATATAACGCATATTATAGAATTTTTTCAGAATTTTTGTACGAAATTAAATAAGCAAAAAGGGCCAAAAACCGGAATTTCGTTTTTTCCCTTTTACTACCCCCACGGTTGAGATATGGGGTTGAAACTTGGTGTGAGATGTTTTTTTGGGATATGCTACCGACTGACGAGTTGGGTCTCAAATTCGACTCAAGCGCACATTTGACTACCTTATACGGCTATACCCTTTACCCAAATCCGCCGTACCACGTCAGTGTCTTAAGTTCAACAAAGCCTACTCTCTATAGACATAAAAAAAACAGGAGGGAGTCAATATATCGAGCTGTAATGATTAATAGCGATGCTTCAAAAACACTGTGAACAAAATAACTCATTATCTAATCAAGAAAATTTCATTTTCAATTATTTTTATATTTTCTTTCCGGTAAAATGGTTCCATTGGATTGCTGCGATTTTACTGATTAACGTAAAATAAGTTTAACTTGAGGATCATATAACGCATATTATAGAATTTTTTCAGAATTTTTGTACGAAATTAAATAAGCAAAAAGGGCCAAAAACCGGAATTTCGTTTTTTCCCTTTTACTACCCCCACGGTTGAGATATGGGGTTGAAACTTGGTGTGAGATGTTTTTTTGGGATATGCTACCGACTGACGAGTTGGGTCTCAAATTCGACTCAAGCGCACATTTGACTACCTTATACGGCTATACCCTTTACCCAAATCCGCCGTACCACGTCAGTGTCTTAAGTTCAACAAAGCCTACTCTCTATAGACATAAAAAAAACAGGAGGGAGTCAATATATCGAGCTGTAATGATTAATAGCGATGCTTCAAAAACACTGTGAACAAAATAACTCATTATCTAATCAAGAAAATTTCATTTTCAATTATTTTTATATTTTCTTTCCGGTAAAATGGTTCCATTGGATTGCTGCGATTTTACTGATTAACGTAAAATAAGTTTAACTTGAGGATCATATAACGCATATTATAGAATTTTTTCAGAATTTTTGTACGAAATTAAATAAGCAAAAAGGGCCAAAAACCGGAATTTCGTTTTTTCCCTTTTACTACCCCCACGGTTGAGATATGGGGTTGAAACTTGGTGTGAGATGTTTTTTTGGGATATGCTACCGACTGACGAGTTGGGTCTCAAATTCGACTCAAGCGCACATTTGACTACCTTATACGGCTATACCCTTTACCCAAATCCGCCGTACCACGTCAGTGTCTTAAGTTCAACAAAGCCTACTCTCTATAGACATAAAAAAAACAGGAGGGAGTCAATATATCGAGCTGTAATGATTAATAGCGATGCTTCAAAAACACTGTGAACAAAATAACTCATTATCTAATCAAGAAAATTTCATTTTCAATTATTTTTATATTTTCTTTCCGGTAAAATGGTTCCATTGGATTGCTGCGATTTTACTGATTAACGTAAAATAAGTTTAACTTGAGGATCATATAACGCATATTATAGAATTTTTTCAGAATTTTTGTACGAAATTAAATAAGCAAAAAGGGCCAAAAACCGGAATTTCGTTTTTTCCCTTTTACTACCCCCACGGTTGAGATATGGGGTTGAAACTTGGTGTGAGATGTTTTTTTGGGATATGCTACCGACTGACGAGTTGGGTCTCAAATTCGACTCAAGCGCACATTTGACTACCTTATACGGCTATACCCTTTACCCAAATCCGCCGTACCACGTCAGTGTCTTAAGTTCAACAAAGCCTACTCTCTATAGACATAAAAAAAACAGGAGGGAGTCAATATATCGAGCTGTAATGATTAATAGCGATGCTTCAAAAACACTGTGAACAAAATAACTCATTATCTAATCAAGAAAATTTCATTTTCAATTATTTTTATATTTTCTTTCCGGTAAAATGGTTCCATTGGATTGCTGCGATTTTACTGATTAACGTAAAATAAGTTTAACTTGAGGATCATATAACGCATATTATAGAATTTTTTCAGAATTTTTGTACGAAATTAAATAGGCAAAAAGGGCCAAAAACCGGAATTTCGTTTTTTTCCTTTTACTACTTCACAGATGAGATAGGAAGTTGAAACTTGGTGTGAGATGTTTTTTTTGGATATGCTACCGACTGACGAATTGGGTGTCTCATTTGACTCAAGGGCACATTTGACCACCTTATCCGGCTATACCCTTTATACATATTTTCACAAAAAAGAAAGGTACATTGCAATTAATACAAAGTTAATAATGATATTAACCCGCTTCGAGTACCCGCTTTGGTAAGGATTTGTATAACTTTTTAATTGTATTTTGTGGCAAATTATCCCAATCTATCTTAATAGCTTCTTTTAATTGTTCAATATTATCATACTGTTTTCCATTCTTATATACAGCACGTGCTAGTTCTCCCCAATAATTTTCAATAATATTCAACCTAAAAGGTTTTATTGAGAAAATTATTCAGAATCAAAAAATGCTAACTAGACATAGTATTGTTTGATTCTAACACCTCGATGTGTGCAGCATAAACATTAATATTAATCTTAACGTATTTTTTGTCCTTGTGTTATTTGCTGCATTTGAAATCATAGTCTTTTTTGTTTTTAGTTCTTCATTTGTTATTAGTTCTAAACAAATATACACGTCTATTGTACATATTGATATAATATCAACAAATTTTGATGTTAAGACAGGTGCTTTTTTTACTTGCTTCCATTCTGCTTCTCACAGTTTGCGTATATATACTTATGTCAGTGATACATTTGTCTTAAAATTTGCCCGTATCTTTTTTAGAATAAAATAGATTTGATTTACGTACATCTTCATCATCGCATTTTCGTTTCAGGTCCCCAAACGAGAGTTATTTGAAGCATATCATATCTGAATATATACGACTTTTAACTAAGATGCACCCAGTTTTTGCTGGTGTATTAATTATATAAATTAATGCAACAAAAGGATTCCTGATTTTATTAACTAATTTTGTTTAACAAACTTAACTGATGTCGATAAATTGGTTTGTTTTAGTAGCGGGATGGTACAAAGTGTTGGTGCTAATTTATCGCCGGACCAAACATTTGGATCGATTCGGTCGCTGTCAGTAACAAGAGAAGTAGCCAGTTTTCCACTATCAAGAACGCCTACGCCACCCCCACAACATAGGTGAGTACATTTTCTGCATTTACTGCGTTCCATCATGTCTGATGATTACTACTTTTGTACAGAATGTCCAAAGTTGCTAAAAGTCTGTTATTTGTGAATACCGATATAAATATGACTTTCTGTACGAAGATTCTGTAGAATATATAATACAAAGGGATATGTATGTATATATCGACTGTGATGAATCATGTTTTGCATGAATATTTCGAGATAAATTTGGTGATCAAATTTGCTATGAAATATAATCTTTGATACATGCATAAATATCTCAATTGTATTTGAGAATACAAACAGGAATACATTTTCTGTATTTGAAAAACAAAGTTTATGTGTTCAGCTTAAGTTACATATGATATAAAATTATTTTTTTTATGAGTTGTTAAATGTATTATAATATTTAATTAATATTAGACCTTAAAAAATCTATTCAATGATTATTTTTCTATTAGAAGAATGTAACATTGATTGCCCTTCCTGATATCCAAAGCACTAATATGTAATTTTTCTGCACCCGATCTGCTGTTGTTTTCATTACATTGAAGTTTGAAGCCATCAATTTTTTTTATTCTCGCATTTAAAGAGGCGACAAAAATAAAATCATTCTATTAGTAAATTGTAGCAATGGTCCTGTTTTTCTTTACGCCTATTTTTTGTTTGTAACTTTTTATATTTTTGCATTTTTCTCATTAGTTTTATACACGTCATAATGGTACATATCTATAATTGTGAATATTTTATTAATTGAATAGCATTTTTTGGATTCTGTTAGATATCACTGTATGATACTTTTCCAAAATTTTATCATAAAGTACAAATTTTGGAAAAGTATTATTTTTATGACGGCAAAATCTTCATTTGAGTGAATCATTCATCTTATGAAGAACATTGTCCCCATTCAACATTAATTACTTTATTAAATACTTGAAAATACATATAAATGTCATCAAAATAGTCAATTACATTATTCAAAAATAAAATTACTATTAGTCAGAATTTCCAATTACAAATTGAAATATTATGTAAAAAAATAACCTTAAACGAGATTTTAGGCGAAGTACGAAAAGATTAGCGGTTGAAAGATTAATATCTTAACGCAAGATCATTAATATTATTGAACATCTTTGATATGTTTTAGTGTAGAAGCAACGTTTCGAGTTATATAAACGCGTTTATTTAGTTTGCTTAATTCCTATACTGGGATACTGAATATAAAACCCTTGAACATTGTATAAAATATTTATTTGATGAAGATCATACGGAAATTCATCATAGAAGTTTTCTCTAACAAACAACGACGAAAAAATCAGATTATGATTTTCTTATCAAAACAAACCTAACCAAAATTTGTGAAATAAATATACAGTATAGTATCAATAGCGTGAATTTGTTTAAAAAATATTAACGCGTATCCAAAACTTCTTCAATACAAAATTATAAATAATAAAATGCAAAATTAAAAAAAAATGAAATCATTTTTCCGTATTCTCATTTATTTTTTACAGTTTGAATTTTCAATTTGAAAATCTCAAAGATACTGCAATATGCGCTAAGATCAGAAAATTTGCGCAATAATATGGCTTTTTTGCTCAAATTCTTGATACGCTATGAATTCAACATCATAACTGAAATTTGGTTTGGGACAGCTTCTATTACTTCCTCCAACTGTGACTTTTGCTTTCATTGAAATCCTGTCAAGTTAAATTTTGGTCTTTTGCACTGTAAATGATTACTGTGTGTCTCATAAAAATTTCGCGAATAGCACGCCAGCTCTATTGTACACGTAGATAATAAATAAATATACAATGAAATCGCATTAATTCCTTGATAATCGAACATCAGCTATTCCCACCAATTCGTGAAATTGATTTTAAGGTACAACGAGAACATTGTGTAGTAGTCACGATTTATGTAATTATAGTTTAGAACTGTATACATATACATATGTGTATTGTATAATAGAACGCAGTACACAAATATGCAGTCCTCAGCTGCGGCTACATCAATCACAATTGCTGCACGATGTTTCTGTTTTCGTTCGAGGTTTGCTCTTCGAAACTAACCAGCTTTCACGGTTACTGATCGCGCCCAAACCTGAATGGCGATCGGTTAAGGTGACTTTAGTGTACTTCAATCAATAGTACGCCACAACCTGAAAGGGCATGTGCTCCGTGCATTTTGATTAATAAATCCTATATGCTTTTCACGACAATTCTTATGGGACACGAATAGTACATTACACTTAAAATATGTTGAATATGATGACATACTTATTCCCACAATACCATTAATTTATACGTTTCAAGATTGTATTCTCGCGTATCTAGTGTATTCTAGTGTATATAATTGTATAAATGTTATTTCAACGTGATACTACTTTGAGTAAATTTTATTTAATTGGTATGCTGTATATTGTAAATTTCCATACAAAAGGCAAAAATACTGTATTTTAATGTTAATAGTTAAATTGCTTATTTTTTTCAGATTTTATGATACGTTGTCTACAAATTTTTGAATATAATATTTATAGATTATTTTTTATATTATGGTTGAAATCGAACTGTATTTAACATTTTATAAAAATTGGGTACTGAAGGCATATACAAGAAAGTAATCACAGAATGCTTGTATTTACAGGGCGGCTACATTAGCAAATCCTGAGGACCTAGTAAACATGAGTAGCCCGTTGAGAGAAGCCTCTCCAAGGCCAGAAGTACGAGTAATAGCACCTTCGCATCGTTCACCGTCCTCTCTCGTAACAGACAACATTAGCAATCCTACTGATCTCATCAACGTCAGTAATATTAGCAACGCGAGCAATCTTAGCAATGGATCTGGGAATCGCAAATCGGTCAGCATACTACTTCCTGAACATTCGAGTGGATGACCCCAACAGCTGCACGGTTTTGTGCATCGTTGCGACAAAGAGCCACCACCGATTTAGGAATTCACGAAAAGTTTAACAAGAAAAGAAAACATAACGGCATAAAAGAAGCGTGATTATACGGCAGAGAGATTAATTAGCGACTGCCAAACTACTGACTCACCTTGATTAATCTTGGTCTTCAACCAACGGTCTTCAAGCGTTGTGGCACTTTTTTTAAACAAATTTAGCTCCTGAAAAAAACTTTATTTTGCTGTGACTTTAAGTGAGCTATAATCACGTATAATTACCACAGGTATTCGCTTTTGGCATTTGTATTTTGTCACTAAACAGGGTTAAATAATATCATAATCCGTGGTTGCTCGTGTCCAGATTAACGAAACGAAATAGATGCACGAACTGTCATATCGCTTGAGATGAATTAATTCACGCTATTGTGGAATATTCAACTATTGATTCCGCTTAACGAACCTAAATTAGCGAAATAATTCATACCGTTAATATGTCGACAAGAACCAGAAAAAAATTTGTCAAGGTACCGTCATTAAGGAATCATGACAAATTCGTTCCTAGATTATTTTATATGGTGATTTTCTTCCTTGATTTTGTTTGGTGCTGTTATTGTATTGTCGTAGATGTGCTACAAAAGGAAAGTGAAACAAAAAGTGTATCACGCTGATAGAGTGCAAGATCGTACGAGCTTTGCTGACAATTTTTTCAAATCTTACATTTTGCAAAAAGCGAAAAGTTAATAAATTGCAAAAAACTTCGAACGAATCAAGTTATACGCCATTCCTGAGTTCTTGGATAATAGTAGTAATATGGGTGTAAACTTGCGTGACTCAATTTTATATAAGCGAGAAACACGATTTTTCCTGCAAAAGAGTAGATTGTAGCTCTTTTCTTGCAGACGTAACATAGACGATATTTTCCTTCTGATTTTAATATCTTTTCTGGTCATCGAAAAAAGTGATCAAGTACTGTTCAAAGATGAAAAGTTGGTTAGCGAAAGCAGTGCAGATTTGATAACTTATAGCGTAATAGTCTCACCGTTTTAGTCAGAATCATACAAAAAATATTACATCTATTAATAAGATTATGTTATACCCGACAGGGTGGATCGAAAATCAGATACTATTTTAACGAAGCGCAGGAGTTGTAAATATTTCATTTGTGGAATAAAAAACCAGTAAAAATGGTTAAATTATCATTTGAACGTTTCAAGATAACCATACGTGTCTCTGTATAATTCTAATCATTCAGCAGCATTTCGAAACGTCTTATAGCGTTTATGAAGTTATGTTATCGGTATCGTTTTGTACTGATTCACTTAAACCGTCTATTGTTACAATGCTTATTATCTAAACATAATTTTATATACCTGATATAATATTTATATTTTATATCAAACGAATAATTAAAGATGTGATAAATCTGGTTATATAATTTACTTTGGTCCAATATTTTCAGCCCAATTCGCTCTTTCAGAAATGGTTCAATTAGACAATCCCGAAAAATTGTAATGCAAGACAACACATAATTATTTTCTTTTAATAATAGCTATTTCGCGCATTATTCTGCATTAAGTTCAAGTAGGCATATTTGTGAGATGTTGTAGTTTAACACATGGAAATTTGTTACAAGATAAAGGTCGAGGTTACGCTGATAGAAATAATAATATACACTACCGTCCATAAGTATCCGGACACAAGCGAAATATACATTCGCATTGTATGAAAGTTATTCAAGTATCCGCAACAGTAACTAAAATCGATTTTTTTTCTGCAAAGGTCAGAATACTGGAACGTTTTTCTATCGATAATTCTCGTTTGGAACTCATATCTCGATGGAAAAAAAGCTACAGACGAACTAAACCGAAACTGTCAAGTGCGTAGCGTTACCTCCATTCTTATCTCCATTGAGGGAACCTAAACATCTACCAACAGTTTACAAACACTTAAAACATATCGAAGAATCCTCTGAATACGTTCTGCGCCATAGAAATGAAACACAGTAGAAATTAAAATTTTTTTTAGAATCGAAAGCGTTTCATTAGATCCACAAATTTGGACTTTGTACTTCTGGACATGAATTTTACTTTCACACTTTCATTGTATAATTTGTACTTAAAAATTAATTCTATTACGTTATGACACCTCAAAAAAGATAATAATAATTATTACAAATGTTATGATAACCCTAAATACCTTTCGTACAAAGTTCAACTATGTTTTATGTAACGAAACCAAGTGTCCGGATGCTTATGGACGGTAGTGTACGTAAAGAAATATTTGATTACCCAATTCCTATTTTTGCTTGTTGTCTGCTCATTCTTTTTTGCAACATTGCTACTAGCGGTAATGTTACTGGTCAGGTATAGCAGATTCTTGAACAGTATTAATATGGAGAGTTTGCAAAAATAAGCATAAATTTATAAATTTTGTCTGAAGATCAGGGATAGCTAAATTTCGAAGTCCGGTTGTGTATCTTTACTTTATTGTCTGCAAGTGAGAAACAACACTCAAAAAGCGTCATTGAGGAATATTGAGCTATAGAACCATGATTAATATTTTACATAGATAATATTGGATACTCGTTGAACGAAGCCCGTTTAAAGAATTAATGGAAATAGTGTGGAAAACCTTTGGTGCACGCTGTTGCATTTAATATATATTTTAATGTGTATAATTTTGCAAAATTAATTATTAGGCGAAAAAATAAATAACATATAGTATACGTTATAAAAACAGAAAATATACTTATACTTTCATACTATATGATTTAAATAAGTGAATATTTCTTATACGAAATTATCAGACTACTCGAGTAAAATATTCTGGATGAGATCTGAATGACCCACACCTTATCCAATGTTTCAAAAATAATCTACGTTTACTAATCGCCAAAGCTTATGGTTGTTCACGTCAATGACAAAAAACGTCTGCAAGAATTTAAAAAACGATTTTTTAATAATACATGATATTAGGCCGTCTGAAAATTTCTTAGTTAAGCTTTAATACAAACTGTTAAGAACGTAATCAGAATTGCTAATGAATTTGAATAATGTTGCCATCATTTGTCAAAAACTTTACAGAAGGAATTATAATATTCCTTTGACGTAAACATTTCGTTGAATTTTTCTGTCATTTTTTGTAAAGTCATTATATAATGACCTCTAATAAGTGCTCTGAATTTCCTCTTTTTGTTGTAGTAAGTTTCACGGCAGCTTTATTCAGTTGGATTCAGAAAGAAACATTCTTTTTGTAGTTGCTTCTAACTAACTAAAAGTGACATTTGGAACGAAAGTAACCATGGTTAAAACATATTTCACTTTGATTCCTATTTATTAAAAGGGATGTTATCAAATTGGATTGTAGCAAGGAAAAACAAACGTTATAGCCAAAATACATTCGTTTCACTGCAGAATTTTAAATACGACAATCAACCAATTCTGTAGAATCGTTCAAATGAATTATTGTAGCTTTTATTACTAATAAAATTTTTATCAAACTTCCGAGAAAACCCCTTTTTAGATCTGTATTCTTATAAAGTCGTAAGATACCAAGCCCTAATGGTGTTTCATCTGCAAATATATTGTTAATCATTGATTTAGAATGGGGGCATTATGGGAAATGAAATGATACGATGCATACATTATAACCCAAACAAAATAAGTCTGGCATGTGATATGAGTTGTTTTAACTTAATATACTCGATACGCTTATGAATATCTAAATCTGTAATTAGTATGTAATTTTAGTTCGTTGCTAAGCATTAATATAATTTTGAAATCCAGAAAGACGAAGTTTTGTACATAACTATTCATTCTTAAGGCATTTTTTAAAATAATATCTTTACTTAAACAAGATCGATCTTTATGTATTTATCCTTAAGACTTAAGTGATACTAATTTTTTGAAAATTTTTTGATTGAGAAAATAATACATTTTAAATATTTTCCAATCAATAGTATTTAACAATACTTTCACTTTTTCTTCAAATCTTTCTAAGGTTGATTATATTTATCAATTTGTAATGCTAAATTCACTAATTCTTCATGATAATCAGTCTTTGACAGGTTTATGTAGTTTGATTTGATTTAATAATTGTATACTTAAGTATTCATAAAAGTGCAATAATCGTTAGTAGTTAAGATGTATAAAATTTGTTCAGCAGTTAAAACGTACACCGAAAAATGTGAGCTCTTATGCTCTCTTTCCTAATCTAAATGTTCCAACATTTGAGACAGTGTTACCAGTGAATCAAAGCCTTCATATAATTCTGTTTCCTAATGAAAAGCAAAATAGCATTGGAAGGAAACAAATTTAATCATTGAACGCTTAGGGAAACCGATTTTGCACCCATTTTTGTGCATATTTTTCGACTTATAAGCAATTGTATAAAGAATGTGATGTCATTCGTTAATACCAGCGATTTTATTAAATGTTAGAGAAGATCATTAACATTCGTATTAATGTATTTTACAATTTTTTAAATGGTAGCCTCTAAAATGCAATTACATATACTTTGTCCTATATTTAAAACCTGAATTCATTTTTTTTCAAGTCAGATTCTGCCGTAACGGGAAATAAATACATAATCTATAAAAAACAGAAGGTAAAAAATACAGACTTATGAAAATTAAAGAAGAAATATAGCTTGAAGTTAAAAGAACGATTCTGTACCTCCTAAACTTGTCATTTTTAGACGAGTTTTAACTGATTCTGTTGTTGAGAAGAATGTATTTAGCTATGACATTTGTCCATAACATTCATTTGGAAGAATTTCCCAACAGTTACTTTTCATGCTTGTTGTTGAGTATGTGACTTGTAACAATAACTTAAAGAATTTTCACTCTTGGAAATCTTTCCTAGATCTTAAGAAAGATTTTCAAGAGTGCCAACATCCCAAAGGAAACATATTACCCGTATGTTTTCGCTTCAAATTCTTTCTCATATTTTGTTGTAACTATCATTGAGTTCATTCTTACGAATATTATTTATATGTTTAAATTTGACAAAAGATTACAGAACATCTTTTTAATATTACTATGGCATTAGTTACGCGAACAATGTTAAAAGCAGTAATAAAAAAAAGTGATGATGTCTTTTTCTAAATTTTTTGGTTATACAACTATATACAAAAAATTGAATGTACGCTTGTAAAATCCATATTACATACGTAAATTTGTAACGCTTTAGACCTTGATACTCTATCCATAATTATCGTAAACCTTGAACGGCGGACCTAGTTCAATCGTGATTTACTTTAACAAAAGCTATACAACGACTAAAATCGAGCACTGAATCTTTTAAACGAAATACTTTTATGAATAGAAAAATAACATGAAAAGAAATATTACAAAATTTAGAAAATGGAAGTAAGAGTGTTAAGTAGCTTTTATTGTACACCCGTCGTTTCAAAATTATTTGCTTTGTTTTACCAATGGAACTAGTACAGAAGTGAGCTTCACGATTGCAAAATGCCTGGATTCATAGTATAAAAGCATTTCTATCATTATCAGGGTACCATCGAATGTCGGGCAATGCGCCTCGCACTCTCTGCTATCATGCGCGATACGCCGAATTGTGTATCATGCCTGAACTACCATCGACAATATCTTAGGTCTCATACTTATTGTTAGAATCTATATCTTCAAGCACATCAGCTTCATATAAATTCAGAGTTTAATACACATCGTTTTTATTTATTGTTATCAAGGATATAAACTTTAATATACGGGTAGATACCCTCATCAGTTTGTCAACTTTTGCATTTTCCAGAAAACAATGTTCATCGTATTATTATATACTAAAATTCATACAACTTTGTAATCTAAGGTATATTTTTATCTTTAATAGTTTCCGGAATAGTCTTGAGGGACTCAATTTTCAGAGAGCGATTTCTGAGTATGACTCTGGAAATAATTTATAACAGGAAAAATTATTCTCGATGTCGATTTACTATTCTATGATTTAGTCTAATATTTACAATGGCAAACATATAAATAGGGAAATACTTACTTTTCGATTCAACTTGTTGTGCTGTTAGAGATTATATTCCTATTTTTGGTCCAATATATCACTTTAAAGTACGTTCCGCATAGGTTAAAAAAGTAAAAGTAAATAACTATTTTGTTTGTTGTTAAAGTAGAATTAGGTACATGTAAAGAATTTATTCATCTTACGAAAAGTGGATAAATAAAGAAAATTACATGCAGTGTACAAATAGTAACGTGCAACAAAATATTGAAATTTTCAAAAAGTGAAATTATAATGAATATTCGTTCATTGACTTGTTTAAATACTGTAACACCTCAATAAGACATGGAATCAATTAGATGCTTATTAGATGTACATTTAAAATGGACTGTTTATTTTATTCTGTTGTTTCTTCTGTATCGTTCCGTAATGCATTAACAGCATTTAAATTTAATAGCTATTAGGATCATTCTTAGTTTAAAATATCTAATCGTTTACAAGGTTATTATTAACGAATGTAAGTATATATTTAATATGTTTATGTGAGTAAACTAGTTTATAATTAAAAAATCCCCTCTCTACGGCAAATCTAAGATTTTTTGTAACCATTCCTACTCATATTATAACAGAACCATCTTTTTTAGCATTCGATTTTATATAGTTTTTGTATTCAGCAAAAACGGTTTTAACGAAATATAATCGTGTTTGATAACTCTTTTATTTATAAATGGTTCCTTATGGTCAACGCAATCTTTTA